GCTGCCATTCTTTTCAAGACTTCGGCATAGTCGTTGAAGAATTTATAGAACATGCTGTGTCCATATATGCTAGTTTCACTGGCTTCTTGAAACAACTGGCCCAGGTCAAGGATAAGGGGCCCCATCATGTTAACCATCACATGTTGGAACCTAGTTCCAAGATCCAATTCCTGAAGAGTAAAATGAAAATTGAACATCAGACAAAATCAACATCAGCATATAGGATAAGCGTCGAAGTATACAGGATGAGCGTCGAAGCATACAGGATAAGCAACCACACAAGCAATACAACAACCTTTAAACGAATAACTGAGTCTCATAGGATGAACGAAGGTCTAGAGATTGTATGTACCTTATCTTTAGTTGATGTATCTTCTTGATTTTCAGGTTGTGCCTGCGGATCATCAACTTTCCTCATCTCCTTGGCGTGCATGGGCTCATCCTCATCGATTCTTTCCGGTACCGTAATCCTGTCTAGTGGTTCGCCACTTCCAAAGCCTACACCCATGCATTCCTTTCTCACCCTTGTTGTAACTCGTTCGTTGTTCCAGTGAGCAATCACAGGAAACTGTCTGGGGATTCCTTCCCCATCCTTATACTCAAATCTGTCCAAATAGCACAACTGCAATGTTTTATGGTACCAACATAATATTCATTTATTTCACATACAAAATTAATAAAGAAGGAAAAAAAAGGAAAGTAACTGAAATATACCAAGAGGAAGATCAGTGGCCCATTCAAAGCACCTTAGGATTCCTCTGCCACTCTTTGACTGTGTCGTAAAGTCCCTTTGCCACATACGTGCCCCAATTGTAATTTTTGATGTCATCGACGTTCATCAATGACTTCATGATTTGCTAGCAGCAACAGGAATTCTTTGTTCTGAAAAGCATGCTAGCCATTATGAATTTTTTAGCACAAAGTACCTATAGAAAAGTAGCACATAGGATGAGCAATGAATCATACAGGATGAGCATTGAAGTATACAAGATGAACAACCACACATTCTCCGGTCAGGATGAGCACTGAAGCATACACGATGAGCAACCACAAAAACAACACATCAACCTTTAGAAAACATTGAAGCATACCTTTTGAATTCTTCTTCATACACTCGGTGCCATTCAGATTCAAGAACTTTTTTCAGGTCAAAATCAGGATCACCCGTTACAATGTAGTTCCCAATTTTGGTTGCTTTGGGTGATCCCGAATCTGCAGATTTCATTCTGAATGTCTCCCTCATATGCCGGAAAAGATTCCTGTACTATGAATCATCGGACTTGTCTCTGGAATCATAAGCCTCAACTACTGTCTTCAGACCACGTGATAGTCCAAGGACAGCTTCTACATCTTCTTCTGTGATCTTCAGTCCTTTTTTCCCCCCTTGAATCCGCAAATCTTGTCGCTGAACCTAAAGTTTTTTAACAGGTAATGGGACAATTCTGGGTGAAGAAATTTATTGATTCCCAGGCTCAAAAGGTGCCTGAAACCTATTTGCTGAAACCAAAAATTTCATGAGCTCTGGCCGGCGACACTCTGCTTAGATAATTGAAAATCTCTTCTTTGGAATCTTTATTTTTTGCGGCTTTCTCTTTCTTTGCTTCTGTTTTTGCCACAACACCATCATTACCATCTTTTCTCTTCGTCTTTCTTCGGGCAGTGGGTGCCTTTATTTCTGTATCTACCTTCTTGTCTGCTTCTTTTTCTGCCACCTGATGATCATCATCATGCTTAAACTTTATCCTTTGTTCTGTGGCGAGTGGTGTCGACGTTTGGGTGCAGTCTTCTTCTTTGCTTCTTTTTCATCACCGCCATCTTTCCTTTTCCTTTTTCTCTCTTTGGCGGCAGATGTAGATGATTTGTCTTTCTTTTGTGTTTCAGCATTCTCTTGTTGAGACGGTGAACTATTGTGCCCTTGAATGGGTTGTGTGGAAGGGAGACTCTTGTCTTTATTGCCTCTCCTCACACTCTTATATTGATCTCTGTTGCATGAAAATATAGCAAATGAGCAAGACATGATACAGGATGAACATTTAGTGATAGGTAGTGAACATATATCCAGAAATCAACATCAATGCATACAGGATGAGAATCAAAGCATACAGAATGAGCATCAAAGCATGCAGGATGAACAACTTAATATTCTCTGTCAAGATGAGTATCGAAGCATGCAGGATGAACAACCTAACATTCTCTGTCAAGATGAGCATCGAAGCATGCAAGATGAGCATGAAAGCATACAGGAAGAGCAACCACACAAACAATACAATTATCACAGGATGAACATCACATGATGAACAATAATTCGTATGAAATGAGCAAGAGACTCTCAGAGGATGAACATTACAGTAGAGCATCATAATGTTATGCAACCAGAATATCATACAAATAGAAATGTAATTTAATTTTCTCAGGCTACCAGATGAGCATCATACGATGAACAATCAAATCTATAAAATGAACATCAAATCTTAGGATGATCATTACCTATCATCTAAGCTTGATTCTGAGTTTGAGTCATGTCTTGCAGACTCTGGAGAAGACTCTGGCATAGCGCTTTTTGGTCGTGTGATTCTCATCCTTCACCTGTAATAATTTAAAAATGAAACATAAGGATTGCGACTTCAAAACCCTGATTCTTGTCAAATTCAGATCTGAAAAAAGGAATGTTCATTTTGAAAAAAGAGGATACTTACTCTGATAATCGCGGACGGAATCTCAAAGATTTAGGAGGAAATTCGCCGAAGGAAGTTACGCCAGAGATCTGGAATGAGAAATCGGTTTAGTGTTTTTGAGAGAAATGGACGGTTTGTTCTTGATTGTGAGAGGAGAGAGGCTTGTAGGAGATTTCTGGTGGAGATTCGTGAATTTTGTGGAAACTCGTCGGAAGAAATCGCCGGACGGAGATTTGGAGAGAAAAATCGCCTGGCGGAGGTGACGAGGGTTTTCTGGATTTTGTGGAATTTTTCCTTTTTTTAAAAAAAAACCTGACTATTTATAGTTTTTTAGGTAAGCGCGTGGCAAAATTGAATGGTAGTAATTTTGTAATTCTGAAGAAGGTGAGCTGCGTGTGATATTAAAAAGCTCCGTGTGCCCTATATATTAATTGCTCATTTTCCCTGTTGTAACAAAATGCTTAGATTCGATGTCATAAGATTGACGAATCTAAGCCGCCATTCACACTGGCGTTCCCAAGAAAATATTGAATTTTTTCTAAAAAAAGTAAGTGACGAATCGGACTCTCAAACTAATATCTATTTCCATCTTAATTTCCTAATCACCTCACTTGACATAGGCTTTTTTTTAATTATTATTATTATCTCCAAACGAATAGGTAGCCAGGTCACTAGCCAAAATTGCAACAGTTGAGTCACCAAAGATTTGCACATCATGCTGAGTCAACTCGTTGACCAGCTTCGAAGCCTCTTTAAACCCAGAAATTCAGCTATCTTTGAACTAGTGGAGTCTTTCACCAAATTTGACACACGTACCCGACAAGTTCATTCAAGGGTGGGTTAAAATGTTAGTAAAATTTTAAAAAAAGAAAGTAATATTTAAAGAAACATATGTGAAAAAATATTATATAGTAATTTAAGAAGTATTGTAAGATTATAGAGTAGGGCATTTTTAACCATAAAATCGTTATTGATAGCTCTGAAAAAGTTTACAGCATTGTAAAATTTTTAGGTTAGAAATTTCCCAAAGAGAGATTCACTTCTCAAATCGTTTATGAATAGCGACTAGAATTGCAAATATCGTCATCATTTTCCATAACACAGTTATACCTTCCCAGTTACCATCGTGAAAGGCAGAAAGGTCAACTATTAATGTTAGTATAGCTTTTTCTTTGTCTAGTAGCTAGTACTATCAAGTCAATTTGTCATCACAAGACGAAAAGAAGTACATGCTGAGATTTGATAGTTCTGGGGTCGTGGACTTAATTTCATGTATGATTGAAATTTTAACTTTAAAGGATTATAATTAAGGTTTAAGTTACAATTTCCATCTGAACGTTTATAATGCATTGCTGAAATAGGGAGAACTCATTATTGTCACCCGTACTATGCCGAGGAAAACAAGTTTTATTTATTTTTTTATTTTTTATATTTTAAAATTATTGTTGTCCGAGTCGCTAAACTACCTGTTCTTTTTTCCACTGATAACTAGTTGCTTTAATTCGTAAATTAATTTTTTTGAATATAGTAGCGACGACTTGTAATTTATAAACATTGGGGCACTAATTCCGTCCAAAACAAGTAATGCGTTGCACTATTTTAATCCAATAACATGACTCATTTTTTGGACAAAGAGTAAATTGTAATTGACTTTGGGATTTCTGTGCATTCATATGCCGCATGCCATAATTGACTTGCTCTCTAACTTCAAGCAGAAACCTCAATTCCATAAGAGATTAAAAGAACCCAAAAACGCAACATACTGCTTTCAGATATAAAATATTCCAACATCAGAATGCCATCTTATCCCTAAAGAAACACGTAACACTAGACAAAATAAAAGAATAAATTAACTTGTACGTGGAGTACTTGTTGAGTGACATTTATCATAGGAAAAAGAGCTATAATCAGTTTGAATTCAGATTAGTCGAAACAATAACTTTTTTTTTTAAGGCATTAATAGAAAAACAACGATTTCTAGTACCTGGTTTGTAACATTAATTTAAAAATAAAATTAACTTGTGGTATCATGATCGTTTCCTCCAATTAGACTCTTCTAAAATAGAACTTATCAGAGTTATTAATTGCAGATTTGGACTTGTACCAATAACAAAAATCCACCATCACATATCCATTTCTCCAACGCCCAACAACATCTTGATGGAGTCAATAAACTCATCAAATGGTTGCATTTCTTTCCGTTCATTCCCACATCGTGATTTCAGCAAAATTTTCCTATAAATAGGATCATTCTCGTCCAATCTTCTGCACAACGAGTTCAAAAGATAGTGAAAAAAGGAAAAAGGAAAGAAGAAAGATTTAATCATGGGCTCTAAGGGTCTCATTTTGGCTTTTATAGCCTTGTTTTTGGCTATAATGATCACTTCCGAGGTATCTGCTCGGCAGTTGGCTGAAGAGAATTCTTCCCAAGTTGAAGAACGTAAGAGCCAAACCTTTTCCTTTTTGGTTGTCTAATTTCGATTCATTTTTGTCGAACTTATTAATTTTTTTTCTCAAATAATGACGATTTTATTATTTGTAGTATGTTTATGTCTATAGGGAAATAACACTAACCCGTATATTTGCATGTTCATATTTGTTACGCGCAGCAAAAACAACTGAGACTACTGCAGGCTTTGAGGAAGACAAGCACTATGGAGGGGGCTATGGCGGATACCGAGGTGGAGGATATGGTGGCGGATATGGTCGTGGTGGTGGTTATGGTGGCGGATATGGTGGCGGCTATGGTCGTGGAGGTGGTTACGGTAGAGGTGGCGGCTATGGCCGTGGAGGTGGTTACGGCCGAGGAGGCGGCTACGGTGGTGGCGGTGGCTATGGCGGAGGTGGCGGCTATGGTGGTGGCGGGGGTTATGGAGGTGGTGGTGGTTATGGCGGCGGTTATGGAGGTGGCTATGGTGGCGGTAATGGTGGCTTTGCTAGTCAGGCTGATGAGCCCTAATACTATAATTAATACTACCAGGGAAATTCTACTTTCGGAAGAAGCTCACTGTTGTTTTATTTTCCATAAAAGCAGTCATAGCTCAACAAATAAGACAATCTTTTCATGGAGGGAGTATTAGTTTTTTTTTTTGGATAATGTGGAGGGAGTATTACTTATTTACTTTGTATTCTAAGTTTGAGGTTTTAATAAGAGCTTCAGGTTTTCTTAATTCAGAAACATCAAATGTTGTGTATTTTTCCTTGCGTAAATCATATTCTTCACATGTCCAAATGGTGATGGGATTAATCAAGTCTCTCATAAACTTACAGGGCATAACATTTAAAACAGCAGTACAACAAACTTCTTAGAACGGAACGAATCATTACTTTTGTAAACATAATGCGACAAATTAAAACCGGACCTTGATGAATATATATACTCGGTAGCTATACCAAGTCAATTGCTTAAGTCACTCAAAACTGACCTCCCATGTGTGTATATTGCATATTATGTAATTGACAATAATTATTTTTTATTTGTTTCGGGAACTTTGAGAGTTTTATCGACGAACTTACTTAGTTTGAACTTCGATAAATTGAAAAAAATATTTTCGAATACGTGTAAAAATATACGTATTTACCAAATTTATCTATAATCTATAATCTATAACACTCATTATAACAAAAACTATTTTTCTCCCAAAATCTAAATGTCCTTATCTCCTTAAAAGTCTCATCTTCAAATTTTCCCAAAAAAAATAACACAAAAAAGAAATAATAAATAAATAATAAATAATCCAAATTTCTCTACACGTTGAACTAAATCAGTTTTTTTTTTTTTTTTTCCCTTTTACACATGATTTTAACCCAATACAAATACTAATATTTGTGAAATTATCTTCTGTAAAAGCGCACGAGCCATCAATCGTCCCTACAAAGCTCCGCCATGGATGAGGCGTCTGAGGGAGAGCAGTCCAAGGTTCGTCCCAGAACTGATAATTTTTTTTCTTAACTTAAACGAAATTGACTCGATCTTGACCCAAATAGATCAGACTCCGGCATTTACCATCTATGACCTGCCGCCGCCGTTCCTCCATGGAATGTCTCGCTCGGGTGACTATTTCGCGAAGGAAATCGAGGACACTATTGCTCTGGCCAGGAAAATGAATGCTTATGACCTGACTCGGAGATCCGGCTAGGATCGCACGATACCTGTGGAGCCTTCAAAAACCCAGTCCCAATCCCCGTCAAACTCAACAGACCCATCTCAATCGCCAGGTAAAGCTTCTCAAGAAACTTGATTTTTGGGATTGGCCACGAATCTAGCACTGGTGGATGTTCAATTTTTTTTTCTTTTTTAAATTTATTGTTATGATTTTAACCCAATACCATGGATTCTGAACAATTATAATGAACTCAGGAATTCAGATCTACGGAAGAAAACAACCAGTGAATTATCATCCTCTGTAACTTTCTATTCGTTCAAAGCATTTATCATTCATGTATCACATATTTTCTATCAATCCTTGATGGCGTTTCTCCATATTCAATCATGTTTCAGAAAGAACAAGGAGCCAAAACAATTGAGATCTGATGGAGAAGTCAAATCAGCAACGGCAACATGTCATTACCGTCGGTAAAACGAGCACCAAAATATGGAAGTTTGTGACACCAAAGTTTCTGCAAAAGACAACGCTCAGCAGTGCAGACAAAGGCAGCAAGGATGATACGGGAGATGTTTGCTGCTTTTGTTAGCCACTTCGAAATCGATGTCTTTTCCGTAGAAAATTACTTCTCCGGGTGCACTGATTCTCAATTGCAAGGCATCTGAACTCATTGAGCCTATAATATTACACGTGTAGAGTTGGTTTACATCACACCTTCACACTTACCCATTTCATCCTCCATAATTTAGGCTGTCTAACCCAACTTCCAATTCACGAAACCCAACCAGACGAAACCCGACCAGCCCATAATATTAATGCATCCTATATATGAATATTTGAAATTATGGTCCTTCTTATTTTGTTGAAATGTTGTTTGGGTTGCCTCTTTTCATTTGAGGATGCTTTCTCTTATGCGACTGATATCATATTCAAGGTCATGTTATTATCATGAAGGTTCGTTGCCACTATTTTCTTCTTGCAATTTAGCAACTGGTGCCACAAATTAAATAGTTACATTCTCTTTGTTAATCTATCTTCTGAGTGTTGCTTTTTGTCTTTTATCTAGATTTCTTTTGAAGCATCAAAGATGGAGTGTAGACGTAGTCTACATATATTGATGTCATTTACATATGATAATAATATTGTAGTAATGTATTTGCGCATCAATTCATGTAAAAAATTGATTCTTGCATGTAATGTCCTGAGTTTCTAGCGCGTCTAGCAACAACTACGACAACTCTATATGACCTCTCATCTTACAATTTCGGTCAGATTTTCAGACTTAAAGTCAACTCAATGGGGAAAAGAAAAGGCATGAACACACCATTCATTATATTTAAATCTTAATATGAAAATGACGATGTCTTTAATTATATTTAATTAGTATGATTATGTTCTTTACATTGATATTAGAAAACAACATAGCATGCTAGATTATGTTTTCTTTTATCAAAAAAAAAGATATTAGTCATTACATACCCGTGCAACACACGGGTCCAGAACCTAGTAACTCCATTATAACAAAAACCACTTTTTCTCAAAATTTCAAGTGTCACTTCATCCTTAAAATTAGTTTAAGCCAAATTATTTTATTAAATCTACAGATTTTAGCAATTACTGAAATTAAAACAATTCCAGAAATAATTTCCCATTGTAATTATCAATTAAAATCCTCCCAACTAACGCTCATTATCTAAATACAATTTTTTTCAAAGATAAACACTTCCATGAGTAATCTCAATCTCAAACCATTATAACAAAAACCATTCGTGTGTAATTTTATCCATGAAGGCTCTTCAATCATGATTCCACGTTCCTGCACAATTTCCATCTCCCACGGTGAATTCCAATTCTAAATTCATAAAGGATTGTCCCTCCGATTCGTTCCGAAAACAAACCTTTTTCCCGTTGTATGATTACATTGATAGTATAATTTTCTTCGTAGATGCAATAGATCTTTTATAATGTGTGATCGTTACCATCCTCAAACTTCCAGAAGAATAGCAGCCGTTTATGATTCTAAAGATTCATGACAAGGAACAAGTTCCCCTAGACCATCAAATTCAACAATAGTTCGCCCGGATCCAACTAGATTTCAATGGAATTGGCATCAATTATACATTAGGTGCTTTTGTTGTTTTTTTTTTCCGTTGTAATCATTTAAAAAAAAAGTTCTTGAAAACTTTTTTATTTCAGAAGAAAATTAATCAATGAAAACTATTAGGGTTGCAAATGTAATATTGTAGTTATGGTACATAGTTACCTCTTTTACGGCTGCATATTATATATATGTTGTATAAATGCTAAAGCTAAACAAGGTTTTTCTCGGCTAAAGATTTATGCCGGCCGTCTCTTTCTTCTTCCTTCACATAGTATCAGAGTGTGCTGGTCCTGTGGTGGAGTTCTGGGCCGGAGGTAGCCTGTGGTGATTTTATATTAACCCGCTTGAGCGTTGACTCATGGGGTTGTTGTGGAACGATCCAACAGTATAACTGGTTTTCTCCCACTTGAGCGTTGACTCGTGGGCTATTCTGTTCTTGTCTTGATCTAAGTCCATTGAGCAAAAAGTTCAAAGACCTATTAGACTTGAGGGAGGGTGTTAAGGTGTATAATCTTTTCCCAGATTGCCATCGTGAAGAGAAGTGACTCAGTATATAAGTGCTAAAGACCAACCCACTCATAGCCAATTAGTTTTGAGATGGGTTCCCAAGGTACTTATATACTTTGACTTGTTAAGGTGTATAATCTTGTCCCGCATTGCTATCGTAAAGGGAAATGACTCAGTATATAAGTGCCAAAAGCCAACCCACTCATAGCCAATTAGTTTTGAGATGGTTACCCAAGGTACTTGTATACTTTGACATGGTATCAATCGCAAGGTTTTATTTTGATCCTCGGGCATAATAAACCTTTTCCAGTTTTCGCTGCGTCGTTCATTTGCTTAGACTAGTGCTTGTCCTTTGCGGCTTCCATCGGTTGGTGCTCTCTCCATCACCTGGTGGCAGCCAATTTGTTCCTGGTCAACTAGATAGTTCATGGTCTTCGTCCACAATTTGTTCTCTGCCACCGCCGCAGTTTGCCCAGAAATGTTTTTTCCCCGATAATTTCTTTTATTGGTGCAGATTTTGTCTCCTGAAGCTTTTGAAGGTGCGGGTCTCCGGCAATATTTCTTCCTTTAGTCCGCCGCCGGCCTTCGTCTTCATCTCCGCCCTTTGTTCGGCGCTGCAACTTAACGCACCGTTTTGTTCTGTCTTTCAGCCGCTGCATTTTCAGATTTGTTCTCAGGTTTCTGCAGATCTAGTTCCATTTGAACCGCGCCCGGTTCAGTTCGGTTTGGGTCAGCCGGTTCGATTTGGGTCTGTTTACCCAGTTTGGTTTGGTTCATCCACACCGGTTCCGTTCGGTTCACTCTGTTTGGTTCAGATCATTCGGTTCAGCTTGGTTCACTGTTTGATTAACCTTTATTCTGCTTCCTTCATTTGTCCCTATGTCTCACCAGGGTTCCAGTTGGAATGGTCGACGTGTTGATTATGGTCAAGGCTATGGTCGTGGTACTAGTAGAGGTGATAGGATTGGTGATGTTGGTGGTTCTACTCTTGGTTTAGGTGGCTTTGTATCGGCTACAACGCATACATCACTGGCTCATTCGGCTGGTATTGCTCCGGTTAATCAAGCTGGGGCCACCACAGGCCTTAATCAAGATCAATGGCACTCATTATTAAATTTTTTACATTCTGCTGGGCCCAATGAGACACTTTCTCGTAAGCCTTTCTCCGCCAAGTGGATGTATGACTCAGGTGGTACTCGTCATATGACGGGCTCTCTCGTTTTTTTACGATGTTCGCGATATTGC